AAAAAGGGGGCGAAAGGAAGCGCCCGACAGGCGAAGGAGGTAGACAGGCCTCCAGGCTTCCCCGCACGCAGCGCGACGGCGAGAGTGCAAGGCCCCCACCTTCCCTTTCTTCCCTCCTAGCTGTTCTTTCTTCGGCGCTCAAGGGTCCTTTCGGACGAAGTGTCGCCTCCTGATGACGTCACCGGCCCCCGACAGCGGGGTTACTTGAGGGGAGACGAAAATGGGAGGGGCCGGGAGAGAGAGAGGGGAGAAGGGCGGGGCTGTCTCGCCACGGCCTTCTGACCCCGCCCCCTTTTCGTTTTTTTCCCCCCTCCTCCCTCCAGGCAAGACCTCTTCACCCCGGGCGAGAAGAGGAGGGCCAAAGCCTCGCGATATTTCAAGTTCTCTTTTTAACCGCGGAGGGAGGAAACGGGAAAAGGAAGGCGGGCGGCCATTTTGAGAGTGGCCATTTTGGCCTCAGGAGGTGGAAAAAGCGGTTATTAAAAACCCAGCCATTGGGAATCGAAATATCGCAAACTAACGAAGGGCAGAGCACAAATCACAATTTTCTACACTACACACGAAAGTTATATTCTGAACTTCAGTTAAAAGAGTTTTTCTCCTCACAGAGATAAGGGCTATGGACCTTCACCTTTTTATACATATCTTTTTCCCCTCATAAAAATTAGTATTTTTTTCTACAGAAACCAATGCACAAGGGGAAATGGAAAGATATATGTGTTGCCCTCATCCACATCCTCCAGCCATAGCCTTCAGTGTCGCCTGTGGAATAATTAGTTAATTATAATTGGCTGATAATCCATGTGTAGCGTTGTTTTGTGGGCCAATTACGAAGGGGAAACATAACAGCCGCTCGTTTCAAACAGGTGTCTAGTTAAAACATTGTATCTCACAAAGCTTTATTTAATTTTAATTTTATTACTGCTTTATTATATGTTTATACTATGTTATTTTGATTTGTTTGCTGCCCAGAGTATCAGATAAAAAGGCTCAGAGTGTTTTTATCCCAACAAGCCTTTACTGCTTGTTGGGATAAAAAATACAATTAAATAAATAGGCTAAATATTGTGGAAGAAACATTTTTAGTTTGAATATGGGTAATGTTTGTGTTGTCGTGGTTTGGCGAGTAGTTGATCCGATGGGTTTATTGATATGGTTTGATTTATGGTTATTTCTGATTATTTGCTTGTTTGTTTATTAAATTTATACCCCAACCTTCTAGACCAAAGTTTACTCTGGGCGGCTGTTTGATATTTATTGTTAACCACCCAGAATAATGCCGTCCACTAATGGGCCAGTATAAAAATCTATGCAATCATAAATTATCATAAATTAACGTCCCTGTCAAAGAAACAACTGTGCCTAAGGGTATGGCTGGGGACCTTGACAAACTCAGTTCTTTTAGACTGCACGTAATAGGAATATTATCGACCAACCCAGGGCCAAGTGATCCTTTATAAAACAGATCAGGCAGCGCTTGGACATGTTACTTCTTGGCAGGGGATTCTGGGAGTTGTAGTCCAATAGAGTAACATTTCCAAACTATACAAGAAAAGCCTGCAGGCTTCTATTTTGAGATGGAATTGGGTTTCTAAGATTCCTAGAAACAACTCAGGATCGGCCAAATAAATTGAACATTCAAGGAAAATTCATTTGAGTACAATGAATTTGTATATTTTTATATATTTTTTTCTTCTCTCATTTTTTTTTTTTCATTTTGCAGTCTTCAAAATAAGGCAGGTGAAGAGTTATTTGCAGACAGCTATAAGATACATCTCTCACTTTTCTTTTCTGATTTTTAGCTCATCGTGGTTCTTTGGTATTGTTGGCCCATGGGGGAAAGATCTGCTTCAACACTTCAGCTCGCACCATTCGACAATGAAGGGAGCTTTGGAAATGCTACACCAACCACTTGAAATTAGAATCTTTGGCACCTGCTAATCAGTGCATGAGAGGTAAGTACAGAGTTAGCAAAACACGATATGAATTACAACAGATGCATGTCGGTGATGAAATGTGTGTTTTGCTATTTGACATGAGATCAAAATAATCACAGACGGTGCTGACTTTTCAGCATTTAATAACCAAAATCAGTAGCTTGCTTTAGCTTTCACATTGATATAAAAAGAAGAGGCTGTTTCTGTTCAGGTTGCATGGGGAAAGAGGAGAAAAGATTCTATAAATCAGTGCCATATAAGAATAGATATTTTCGTGGCTTGTAAATACAGATCAGAGAAGTGATTCAGAACTGTAGATATGCAGCATTAATACATACATGTGTTTGTGTAGAAAAAAAGCCAAGTACAACATAAGCAGGAAAATAAAGATTTTTTTTCTTTAAATTGGAAATTGCATGTGCTTCTAAGATGGCCAATCCAGATTTTGCTTCATGAAGGCAAGTTCTCTGCTTGAATTCTGGTAAATCCCACCATCAAGTGTAAGAAAAGCTTGTCTTTGGAGGGTTTCCGAGATGAAAGGGGGTCCATGTTGCTTAAGAATTCTTCTGCGGGACTTTGATGGTCACCTAGAAAGAAAAGGGTTCATTAGGAAATTACCTTTACAAAATAGCATTCTATGCTCTGAATCTCCCCACTGGAACTGATAGGTGTTTGCCAATCGCTGGTCTCTGGCTGCAGAGCCAGAGGGTTGGGAGTTCAATTCCTGACTGGGCCTCTTGGGCAGGGGCTGGGCCCCATGATCCATCAGGTCCCTTGCAGCCCTGCCATTCTAAGAGAAGGAGGAGGATGCAGCGCTGGACAGAGCAAATCTCAAATTGTTCAGCTGGAATATGCAAAGCAAAAGTTCTAGCTCTGTATTTTGGAGACAGGAATAGAGATCACATGCAAAACAAGAACATAGAGTAAAAAAAACAAAAAACTGAAAAGCATCTGTGAAAAGGGCTGGAGTCCAAGAAAGCTGACGAGAGATAAACCCTAAAGGTCTTCAAGGTGTCACAAACGCAGAGACAGATGAACATGACTAGGGACCCCCTACCCTGAAATGAACAAGAAGAAAGGAAGAAAGAGGTGTGACAAGACTCACTGTTTTCACTTCCATGTATGGGGTCAGACCGTATTCTCCCCCCTCACGACCTTGTCCAGAGGTTTTGTAACCTCCGAAGGGAACCTGACAGCCAAACACGTTGTAGCAATTTATCCTGGAATAGATCATGGGGAGAAGAAACACTTTGGTCTTAGTCGGTGGGATTTGCTTTGCGACTAAAAGCAATGTCAAGAATCAAAAAAACCCAATTACTGGCACACCTGCTGCAGCTGCACGGTTACCTTTAACACCGGGCTCTCCCGCTCACCTGTAGCTCTCACCTATAGAACTGAATTCCCATTTTTAGTATCTTACCAGACAGTTCCGGCGCGCAGACCCTGGGAGATGTAGTTCGCTTTGTCGATATCTTTTGTGAAGACGGCCGCTGCCAGCCCGTATTTTGTGTCGTTGGCTCTGTGGATGACCTCCTCGATGGTTTTGAACTTTAAGATCTGCATGACTGGTCCAAATATCTGCAGGAGAAGGAGGAGGATACGAAACAGGCACCTTTTCAGTTTATTTAAAGAGGCACTAGTTTCGTTAGCACTGCTCAAGGCTCTGAAAGGACCCATTGCAAGTTAACACAGAAGGAGGCCTGTTCTGAGAAGAGGAGTGAAAAAGTATGTTGGCAAAGCCCAGCCATCTTTAAGCTGTAAAACGGATGCATACTGCAAAGAGCAGGAAAACGAGTGGAAAGAGGTGGGAGGCAGAACATAAGCTGGACTTCGATAAGCAGAAGTCAGTGGTCCACCTCACCTCTTCTCTGGCAATTGTCATGTCATCTTGTACGTCTCCAAAAATAGTTGGCTGAATGAAGTAGCCTCTGTCCGCCGCGGGGTTCCCTCCGCACATCAGTTTGGCTCCTTCCTTTTTTCCGGTACTGATATATCCAAGGATCTTCTTATACTGACTCTCGTCTACCTGAAGAGTCAAAAGAAGGGCACACGGTCAGTTCAACCCTTCTGAGAAGGAAGAAGAAAGCATCTCTGCTCCAACAACATGGGGGATATAACCACGTGAAGAAAGAGTTCAACATAGGATTACCAAAGTTTTGGACATTTATCACATATAAGCGAAGATTCCCTCCTGTATCATCTTTTAAGTCAATTTTGGGGTGTGGAAGGAGAGCTGCAAGCTGAAATATGCTATGTAATGACATTAAAATATTGCTACATCAACTGGAGAACATTGGTACGCTAGGTATGCTGAGGAATGTCTACAGTTACGTCTACAAAGCCACAGTTCAAAACATGTTCATTGACTTTGTGTTTAAAGTTAATAGCTCTTTTTTGAGGTTTTCAGTTGGTGAATCTTACCATTTATAAACTAAAACCTATCCTGGAGGGATGTGCCAAAGACTATGTAGATTTTTTTTCCCCTCCCAGTCTGGGAGACCGGCTCAGTTTTTCGAATCCAAAGTATTGTTTAAAGAAGTGAGTCAGGGACAGGAAATGGACAAACTGAAACCTTTATTTGCTCCCACCTGAGGTCCTTGTTCTGTTTTGAAGTCAAAGGGATTGCCAACTACTCGGGACTTGGCTCTCTCCACGCTCTTCTCTACAAACTCGTGGTATATATCTTCTTGGACAAACGTCCGGGATCCTGCACAGCAGCACTGGCCTTGGTTGAAGAACAAGGCGGAATGGGATTGCTCGACAGCCCAGTCCACTAGGAGAGAGAAGGAAGAAGGATGAAATCACAACCGAGCCCATTTAACAAGTATGAACAGGGGTGGTACGAATCGCCTCCGTAGTTTTACGTCTGTTCCCTGTGAAAAAAAGTTCAGCCTCTTTATTCCTGGCTCACGGGCACCAATGTGTAGTTTTCCTTATCTGGACTAAACAGCAATCTGAAGTTCCTTTCAGAACTGGCTTGAGCAGAAGATGCCCAAAGCCAAGCAGGGGAACCATTCTGGCTTAACAGACCATGGAGTCATTCCTGTGTGCCTCGGTGCCTTTACTGGGGATGGAATTCCTGGCTGAGTTCCTGGAGTTTCTCACCATCTATGGAAGACAGACTGACAGGAATCAAGGTGGGGAAGGCAAGCCAAGGAAGAGCAGAAACCCTTCAAGCCAAGTTTCACTGCCGTTCTATTCGCTGCTGTTAAATGCAGATGTTCTGCCTCTGAACTTTCAAAGCATGCTTTGGTTTTGAAGGTCTCACTGTGACTGCAAAGCTTCTCCAAACGGGGCTTTCATGTTAACAAGGTGAAATGAGGCAATTTACCTCAGCGCTGCTACAAGCTGACCCCAGCCAGCACCTACCCCTACCAAGAGAGGGTCCTTACTATCGGCATCGGACATGATGATGTTGGGGCTCTTTCCTCCTAGTTCAAGGGTCACTCTCTTCAGATTACTCTCTGCTGCAGCCTTCTGGATCAGGTGCCCAACCTGTAAGGGAAGAAGCAGGCAAGGTTTCTTGAATGTTATAAACAGCAACCAGGCTCCAGATTAGAGAGAGCCGTTTTCAAAGTTATGCTAGGATAGGATGCTAGCTTGGGTCACGGTGGCCTAGGAAAGGATGCCAGATCACCATGGAAAATCCCCCGAGTGTTCCTGTTATGTTATATTATTTCCTGTCATTTCCCCTAGTGGGCTTCTGTGCCGAAGGAAGGATTTGACCCTAGGTCTCCTGAGCTAGTCTGCCACCCTACCCGCTATGCTAAACTGCCTCTAAGATAATGTCCCAGAGCTAGTGTCTGAACCCTCATGGAAGACCTCGCAGGGTTATGAGCATTTGGCAGGCAGAGCCAGAATGAGGAGCCATATTTCTCTTTCAGAAGGAACCCTTCCAAGGGAATCTTAATCCAAAAAAGGATTAGCATGCAGGTTTTAAAAAAAATCCCTCTAAGGACTGAGAGACAGAACTCAGTGATCTGTGGATTGATAACAGTAGGCACTCTCCATCTTTTTAGGGAACTTTGAATTAAAAATAGAATTGCTGGGAAACTAATCACCAGGCTCAGGCTTGCCCCAGAGCCCCAGAGAGAAGGAGGCGAAAAGGGAGACACCTCACTCTCCTCACCTCTGTGGAGCCAGTAAATGCGATTTTGTCCACGTCCATATGGGCGGAGATGGCAGCGCCGGCAGAGTGCCCGTAGCCAGGAATTATATTCACTACGCCCGGTGGGAATCCAGCCTGTCATTACAAAACAAACATCAAGCTCCCATCAAACAAGTGTAGTTAAAAAACAAACAAACCACCAACCTGTATAACTTGTTTTAATAACAAAGAAGTACTGAATATCCACACACCCCTGACAAATTACATATGGTTTCCCTGAAATCCAGACAGATACTCCTGGGGGAGGAATGCTCCTCTGGTTGAGAATCACCACCCTAGCCTCAAATTTAATTCTAGGGCCACAGGGAGGAGCAAAGGGGAGTCTGGTACCCTGCCATAAGAGTGACTCCCCATACTTCACATTAAAATCCACCAGTATTTTTCAAATAACTTGAAATGGTTGCAGGTTCCCCCAATGGGTTGCATACATTCCATGTTTACTGAGTCAGCTCAATTCCCATCCCTTCCTCTATCAGGAGACAGAAATAAGAAAACAACAGGGTCTCTCTAGGTCTCTCACCTCTTTGACCAGGTTGGCCACGTACAAGCCGGTCAAGGGGGTTTGCTCTGCCAGCTTCATCACCACCACATTCCCCGTGGCAAGAGCTGGGCCAAGCTTCCACGCCTGCATCAGTAACGGGAAATTCCACTGCCGCAAAGATGGGAAAAAAGAAATATGAGATTAAGTGCAGGAAGTAAAATTTTGTAAATTTTATTTTCTGCTACTATAACCCTCGGTTAACTTCATTCAGTTTTATGCTGGTGCAGAACTTCAGTTCTGGAAATTTCCAGAAAGCATCGGACAAGATGGTATTAGCACGATGGGGGAACGTATCCGAGTGTCGCCACAGCTTCAACTGCTGGGGCTTCGCACCCAGAAAGACCACACAATGGTCTGACCCTGCCTAAGGCAGCTTCCCCTGTTTCAATGAGAGCATCGGGGTTGGGGGTGGGGCGCCTTTACCTACCGGAATGATTTGTCCGCAGACTCCCACAGGCTCATGTCTTGTGTAGGTAAAGAAGTCTCCATCTATGGGGATGGTTTTGCCATGGAGCTTGTCAGCCCAGCCTGCATAGTACCTGATAATGGAAAAATTGGATCATCCTGTATATATTGAGAGACACGCAAGCACTACGTCTCACAGATATTTCTAGGCCTAGATAAGACTGCCAGTGAACGTTGTCTTCTAGGCCCAGTTGCACGAGAAGTACAGTGTTAAGCAATTAATTTAAAAAACTGAGTTTTCTTTCGTTGTCAAATAGCAACAGCGGGTTGGAATGGCTTTGCTGTGGTTCAGGCCAACAAAGAGTTAGTAACCACCCTTTTTATCAAGCTCACTAATCTTGTAAAATGATACAGTTTTGCTTCCCTTTTTGCTTTTCTGTTATCCCTTTCCTTAAGTTGGCCAAAACACTGTACCAGGCAAAATTTTTCCGAATGCTTCGTAAGCTCAGGCCTTACAGAAGCCCACACAGTTCCAAAATATATATGTCCTTCTATACAACTGGTTTTATTTTAGTGCTCATTCTGAGGACCACCAAGCGTACCACTTCAGCTGTTCTGTTGTCTGACGCATTATACTGAACTGATAAACGCTGCTTTTTACCCCTAGTTCTGGTCTGAGATTCAACAGAGACATTCAATGTAATGGTTCAACTTATGTTCTTCTTAAGAAAAAAAATAAAGGTAAGCTGTTTTTTGTTCCATTTCAGTCTGACTTATTCATTATTGGGGAAGGGATTACTAGACAATGAACAGTTATATACTGTACATTTTAGAAGTATTTTGGGGGTTCAGCATCTTTTCTTATATTTATTAACCAGACCCAAATGTTAATCAGCATAAGGTAGCCGATCCCCTAAAATCACACAACAGAATATGTTTAATAGAGTTTTGATATATTAAATTTATTGTGTTTTTAGCCATGCAGGTCTTTCATATGTTTTGTAAGCCACTTTAATACCTGTATTGAGAAAGAAGCAACATATATTTAAATAAATAAATGAAGTAATTCTGATTGGTGCAGCGGGTCTACTCAAGGTGGGGCCTGCAGTTAGATCTAGACATAAGAAGATAAGAAAGGTAATGCCTAGGCATAAGAAGATAAGAAAGAAAGGTAAGGACGCTGACTAGCCTTTCAGCCTGCTTGCCTGGAGCAGAGTCTGGCTCGCCTCTGTTGACGCCCTGTCAACCAAAGGCTGAGCTTAGATATGCCATGCCGTGACCTGCCACAGCTTTTGCCAGGAGAAACAGAACATCCGAGGCCTGTCCTAGACTTTCACTCTTTGCCAGTCTCCAAGCTGGACCGACCAGTGGAACAAACCCCACCCAAGGGAGCCGAGGCCTGTCCCAGAGCGACTTGTGGCTGCCCTAGACTTTCACTCTTTGCCAGTCTCCAAGCTGGACCGACCAGTGGAACAAACCCCACCCAAGGAGAGATCTAAGAACTGTATTGTACAAGGGAGAAATCTCGCCGGAACACCCTCGCAATGTTTGCAAGACAAAGAACTGTATCGTACGAGGGAGAAATCTCGCCGGAACACCCTCGCACACTCCCTGGTTGCATTGACAAAGCTTCTTCTACAAGAAATGCACCCTAAACTCCCAATGGGCAGATTGTCCTTCCCTACATGGTTACGGGGAGGGCTACGCCCATCTCACACTGCTCACCGGAGATGCTTGACAACCATGTCTAAATCCACCAGATAGGAAATCGAGTAGGGCTTGCCGTTGTCCAGTGTCTCCAGAGCCTGCGAACAGATGCAACGTTAGCAAAGGCTTCCCACCATGACGGTCCTGACGCTGAAGAGCCAAAGGAGACAAGCCTGCAGGACAGCTCGTACGAGCATGTTCTGTACTTACTGCCAGATACGCCCGATCTCTCTCAATCAGGTCAGCGAGGCGGTTGAGCAGCTTGCCCCGGTGGGAGGCATCCATCCGTCGCCAAGGAGATCCGATCTGGAAAGCCTCTTTGGCTGCCTTCACGGCCTTGTCCACGTCTGCCTGGAAAGGAACCCACAATCAACAAGAGGAGCAAAACAACAATTAAACCCAGCAGCTATAGGGTGAGACTAATGAGGGGCAGAAATGGCACCCAGAAAGCTTACAATCAATGAACACGAAAACGACTGATAATAAAAGTGTAAGACTGTGAAATCAAAAGGAACCTAAAAGAGAAGAGCCTACAAAACTATTAACAGCCCCCCATCTCAATTAAAACTACAAAGACGTGAACAGAAAAGACCACAGGGATGGTGCAAGGCAAACGTCGTTGGGAAGAATGCCCGGTCATTGCGGTGCCACACCGGAGACAGGAAATGAGGCAGGAGCACTGCTCCATCTTTGAACTGCTGCGGTATCCGGTTTGATTTATTTGCATGGTTGGTCCTGAAAGTTCAGATGAACTGGGAATGCAAGAAGCTGCTTCTTACTGAATCAGAACCTCAGCCCATCTAGCCCAGTATTGCCAGCTCTGGCCGGCAGCAGCCGTGCTTCTCCAGAGTTTCTGGCAGCCTTCTTTCCCTGTAGGTCCCAGGTTATAACTTCATGGTCTCCTATCCAAGAACTAACGCTGTCCCTGCTTAGCTCCTAAAACAGAGCCCCACTGGATAAGTTCAAGGTGGTGCGGGGGTCCCTGTAAAAATTTCTGACATTTTGCCAAGACCTGTGCAAGCCAAAACTGCACTGGGCTTGTTCCAACCCAGATCTCGCTAAAATATATAAATTATGGCAGGCTTTTTTTTTGTAAAGGTTACAGCCTCTTGGGATCTGTGCAGGGAAGCATTGTTAGTTTTCAGATGCCGTGTGAGTGGGGTGGGCAGAGTCAGGGAGAAAGGGCTGTTTAAGGGTACAGAGAAACCTCGTAAGTCACGAAGACCCCAAAGCAGACTTCCTCCTGCTTAAACAGAGATGATGGGGTTTGACACTTAGAGGATGGATAAGGCAAACGTTCTGGCGTGTAGCAGAGTGTATCGGCAGGGGGAGAACTCTAGCTATCAGATTTTTAACAGGCCGTTTTGTACTTGGAAAGAAAAAAACAACAACTACACTCTACATTGGCCTGCTTTCTTTAATCAACTTATCATCTGTATTTCCATAAGAAATAACTAGCCAGGTGTCAATATCAAACACATTGCTGTTTTTTTTTAAAGTACAACTGTTTGGCTAACTGTAGCAACTTGTATGAACCTTATGGCTTTTCCTTTTGTATACATATCTGAAAAGTGAGAAAGGGGACAAGAGCAAGGCTGTCGTGCTGCACTTTGGAATTAGCCTTTTATCACTCCAAGGCTGTGCTTTCTTTCGGTGTGCACTTTCTGATCACTGCCCCCCCCCCTCGGGCAGTTCTTCCAGGCCCCGCACTGCTCCATTCTATCATCATTCTTTGGGTGCAAGCTGCCATGTGTCGCTGCTTAGAGCGTATGCAATTTTTGCTGACATCATTCCTGTTTGCTAATCCAGCTCCTGCTCTCTCAGGTTCTTTTTTTTTTTTCAGAGATAACGCTGTTATGAAATCAAAGGGCTGGGGCCTATCAGGGCGCCAAACCAGAGGCCTATAAAAGATTCAGGCTTTGGTAAATGGGAAAATGTTTACTTTGAAGCAGGCCCTCTGCCAGTAAGAGCCTGACAAATGTTTGCTTTACAACAAATGTGTGTGTGTGTGGGTGCATGGGTGGCTGCTGGTGGACACAATGCCTCCCAGGTATTTTCTGCCCTCCAAGGTCCAAAGTTGCGGGGGGGGGGAATGGTACATGGGTCCTTGGAAGTTGCTTGACAACTTTTGCCGAGATAAAACAGATTGGGCAGAGGCCTCTCTCTTATTTAAAGGTTTTGTCACACTTTTAAACTGCCCCCCCCGGGCCTAAGTTCCCTGGACTGCATACAGTCAGATTTGAATACAAAGCACAACAATAATGCCCTAAAACCATACCTTAAAAAGAGAGAGGGAGAGAGAGTATCCAGCTAGGGTAAAGTTATCACCAAGTTATTTTTATCAGCAACTCATTTTTGGTGTCAGGACTTGGGGGGGGGGGGGGTTGGGGGCAAGAGACAACCTCTAGAAATTGGCAAGTTTTTAAGAAGTTTTAATTTGTGTGTCTGTTCCAAGATGGCCAACCCCACTTAAAGTATAAGAACAGACACAGTGATATAGAATCCAGATGTCATACTGAACTCTTCTCTTGATCAGGACCAATCAGCAAAATTCAGACTCATGAGCAGGCAATTGGTTCCCGCCGTTCAAGGCTTTTGGGTAGATTCAGGCTTGCCTGCGTTACGCCCAAGGCCCTTCGGCACCACGTTCTTTGACCTGCAGATGACGTGGTGCTTTCATTTCCCTTACACAGTACCTTGTCTCCCTCAGCAACCTGGCAGATGACCTCCCCTGTGGATGGGTTGACGGTTGGGAATGTTTTCTTGCTGACTGCATCATGCCATTCGTTGTTGATGAAAATCTGCAATTAAAAGCACACCTCTTAGCATGAGCCACTCTGTTGACTTCGGTTCTGTGCTTCCATCAGTGATTTCGGAACCCAGACCAAACAGGTGAAGACTGTAGTCATCACACCCTACTTGGGTTTCCCCGCCTCCAAAAAAAAAAAAACACACAACCACAAAAAACACTTAACCATACAAAAAACACTTAACAGGACAAATAATATACGTACAGACTTAATACTTGATTATACAGTACCATAGGAAAAGATGTCTGAAAAACCTTGTACAGTATCTCAGAAGATATACAGTACTATATAACATTAATGTGATTCAGAGAGTTTCTTACAATACTGTATTGGTTCATTTTGCAAGCAAGTACACTTGATATTACTGTCCAAGTACTGTATATTTAACTTCATCAAAGTTTTTTACAACAGGAAGGAGCAGAAACGGCTATTCTGCTCTTTTACACAGCAGAAAAACACAGATAAATGAGGGAGAAGATGGCCCTGCTTTGTTGTAGCCAATCCACCCATCCAGAAGAAGTCTTAAATTCAACAAGACACAAACTTTCCATGCTTGCTTTTTGAGAAGAAAAAAGTGTGAACAATGTTAATAGAAATCTCATCCAGATAAGCAGCCTAATTCGCATCCCTCATTTTCCTGCTGGTTATTGGGGGGGGGGGTGATTCAGACAGGATGAGAGCCTTCTGGCTACAGCAGTAGTTATCCAATATTTCCATTTTCTGGATCCAACTCGTGTCCTGTTCATAACGAAGCAGATTGCTCAGATCTTGCTCTTTCTCTCTGGTTTGTTTATATAAGAAGAATTTATTAGGACATTGTTTCTTGTTTACATTTTTTCCCCCTGCCAGTGGTTATATTGCCAACACCAGGCTAACTTGTAAGTGAATTTCTGCAATTCAAAAGAGGAGGAGATTTTTTTAAAAAACGGTGAACACAACTTTACTATTTTTGTACAAAGGGGCTTTAAGAGTGAGCAGCCCATAAGGAAGGCCACGTTCCATCAATTAAGATGAAATGTAACCCAAGCCACGAATCTCGTACTCAAACACGTTTGCTAGTTTTAATGGACCCACAAGACATTTCCCTTCCTTTTTTTGCTCTATTGTTAACAAACAGAAGAAATGTAGAATTCTTGGCCCCTTTCCAGCTCTGGGGGAGTTCAAAAGCTAAACTTTTTACAGTCCAAAGCAACAATGGAGTGATTGAGGAACATTGCCAAGTCTTATATAGCTCTCTCTTTTGTGAAACAAGCCACACACATTCATTCTCCAGAGATAAAGAAAAGACCAGCAGAAAGTGCTGGAGTGGCCTTTTATTTCAAGATAAACATGGCAGCCAAAAGGAAACCAGGATAAAGACTTAAAGTACAACATAAAGAAGGTGGAAATGTGGTGTAGTTCCCATGTAACCATTAATCCCAAATTCTGGATTAAAACAGCAGCAGCAAGATGGAAGACAAGTGGTCTAACAAATATATTTGTTCCTTCTCTCCTTGGAGAGCAAGCAAAGCAGAGACCATCACGGGGGGGGGGGCACCAGTCGAGTCATCTCAACACCCCAAACAGGTTGAAATATGAGTGAAACTGATCAATAAGGTCTTGCCTTGCAGAAACGCCTGGAGGTGTGGTTGCAAATATTTTTAACAAACACAAGAACTCCAGACCTCAGCTTCCAGATCCACTGGCAACTGAATTCCAGACATTATTTACACAGGATTAAATTCCTAGCAGGCAGTTAGGACTTAATAATAACTTACATGCATCAGTTCATACTGCCAAAGGGTATATTTATGCACACGCATCCATCACTGTTTTGCAATACGCTATGCTAGGCATTCATTTATGGCAGCTGATGAAGTGGGCTCCAGTTCACTTTCTCTCTCTCTCTCTGTCTTTCATGCACACACACAAATAAAAATATGTTAGTGTTAATTATTGTTACAGCTCACACTGACATCAACTTGTTAAATGTCTTTATCTAGCAGCAACGCGAACACTCTCCTCTGTCTCTTTCAGGAGAGTGGAATACCAGGAGCAGGAAGAAAATTACAAATAGAAGCCAGCAGGAGCTCAGGATATGCAAAAGAAAGCAGAAGTAAATCCCTAGGTAGGTGAGGAAGGGAAATTAACTACGCCACTATCCCCACTCTGTCCCGTTAACACTGCTAGGCAGTGGGAGTTTGTTATTCCTTCCATTTCCAGCCTTCGAGAGTGAATATAGATCCTTCTGTAGCCAAAGCAGGAGACGTGTCTTGATTTGGGGTGCCAGGGTATGAAATCGGTCTTCCCACGAGGAGGGTTGGCCATGCTCAACAGGTGTGGAACCTGAACCACCCCAAGACAAACAAGCAGGGGGGAAAAAAACGCTGAGCAATCAGGACCCAAGAAGAGGGGATTTGTGGCCGGCTGGCAGGTGCACCGAACAGGAGCATTTGACAGTCCAGCACATGTGCTGGCAAGCCAGATGGGTTCCTTTAAAAAGCAGGCCTGACCCTTTGGAAGCCCAAAGGCCAGGCGTGTGCCCCCCCTTGTGCATGGAGTACATGGGGTGGGAGGAGCATTTGACAGTCCAGCACATGCGCTGGCAAGCCACACGGGTTCCTTTAAAATGCAGGCCTGACCCTTTGGAAACCCAAAGGCCAGGCGTGTGCCCCCCTTGTGCATGGAGTACATGGGGTGGCCTGAACACATGCTCTGCTTAATGACGGTGGTGTGTCCGAGTGGTGTGTCCAAATGAGCAAGCGAGCGAGAGGGCTGTTCACCTTTCTCCAAGCTCTTGCTAATTTTAGAGAGGAGGAGGCGGAGGTGGTTCACACACACACCCCTGCCTTGACGGCTGCTCCTTTTATTTTCCTGCTGGGTTAGTTTCTTGGCCCCGACCGACGGGGTGAAAAGGGATCTGCTTGGCCACCAGCACTTGGCATAGATGCCTATGGGCAGAGTGTCCCCAAGAAGGAACGTTTCCCCTGTTCTCTTCGACTCCTAGGAGAGAAAAGGGCCTGCAGCAGCAGCCAACCTCTTTGACCGAGCCTTGCGAGTGTGGCTTGACTGGTCTAAACTGGGAAGGGTGCCCCCCTCCCGCATTTTATGGACCCCCAGCCTTGACCCTCCCCTCCCTTCCCTCCCGGCTCCTTCCATAGAGACCGGAGGCGGCGGAGGGGAAGGGGCGGAAAGGCTCTTTGGGCAGCCCCCCCCTGATCCTGCGGCAGGGGTCCCTTGCCCGCGCCCTCCCTCCCTCCTCGCCCCTTTCAGGTGGCCACGGGGGCGCCCCAGGGGCTCTGGCGGTGGAGAAAGGAGGGCACTCTGCAGCTGCCCCGGGGCCCTCTTCTTCCTGCGCCTGGACTTGAAGACAGACCCGAGGAGGGGCTTCCTTCCCAACTTCCTCCACCTAGCCCTCTTTTTTTGGGTGGGTGGGGGGCGTGGGTGGGTGTGGAGAGAGTGCCCTCTGTGCATGCTTGGGGAAGATCTCGCCTTCCAGAGGGAGGCCCAGGAGAGAGGGGGGCCCAAGAGCTCTTCCCCCCCTTCTTGGCCTGTCCCCCCCTCCCCTCCCCCCGGCAGCC